CATCCCGAGAGGAGCTGGGAAACACCTGACTCTGGCCTCCCTGGCTGAGTGTAGGCAAAGCTCAGTCAGATGTCCAGCTTCCCTTCTCTCTCACGTTGGCACCCACAGGCCCTGGCCTCCAAGTTCATCTTGAGCAGTCCCTGAACTTCCAAGGCTTCAGGGGATGTGTGGGGAACCACCAGGTTTGCTTGTCTCCTCTCTCTCGGCTGGCCTTTGGCAAATGTGACTGATCTCCAGGACAAAATTCGAAACCTCCTGATCTCTATAGACCTGAATACTTTAAAGCCATTTATTGTACACATCTCTGGCTAGGATTGTTCCTGACCAGGGTTCAAAAACAGCATGGCAGATGTCTGTCCTACAGGGGCAAAAAGAAAACCAGAAATCAGCTGCTAACCCCTGACGACTTATTACCTAGAATTGTCCACAGCCAACTTCTGCTCAGTGATAAATGCGTTCTGCCTGTGGATACCGAATCTTCTTGGAGCTGGAGCTTCCAACTTTCAGATTTTGGCTTTTTCTTTTTTCTTTTCTGGGCAGGCCTTTGTCTCTTTAATTTTTTAAGGTCCTGGATCTTATGCTTTCCCTGTGTGGCCTACCAGGTTACAGACTTTAACACAATGATGCTCCTTCACTGCCTGCATCAAGGAGACATTGAAAAGTCTAACCTTTGCCACCCTGTGTGCAAAAAATAACCCTATGTGAAGTTGTCCTGTGAACGTGCCCAGTATGAACTTTGGGATCAGGCTCTCTGGGTTCGAATCCTGGCCATGTGATCTTAGGAAAATACTTAACCTCTGAATGCCTTCATGTCTTTATGTGTGAAATAGGAAAATAATAGTAAGCACCACCCTCAGAGTTATTTCTGAGCATTAATTAAGATATTGCTTACAAAGTGTTTAGAACAATGTCTGGCGCATAGCAAATCTCAGCTGTTTTTAGTACACACACTAGATTTTTGAGTGACGTTATCATGTTTTTAAGATAGCAGTGTGACTGGGTGTCCTTCTCCATCCATGGGGCACCCTGAGCAAGCCCTTTCTTTGGCACCTCAATAAACACTTTAGATGTTTTTATGTCTTCACCCTGCCATGAGCAATTGGGCTAATTCTGCAAGCACAAAATATACTAAACCAAAATGGAGTAGCCAAGGATGTGAGAGGTTGCAGGAGGCTCCTCGCCACATGGAAGACCTTCTGTATTCAGGAAGGATTGTGGCCATTCCTGCCTGAGTCTCCTGCACCCTATCACAGTCTGTCTTTCCAAGAACCTTTCAGCCAAGATGACCTTTCTTGTCCTTTCCTTCTTTCCTGCCCTGGTGACCTGGGCCGAGCAATAAGACCTGGGGGCATTGTGAGGATCCCTTCTTTATTTTTCTGTTCCTTAAGCCTAGGATCATCCAAGCCGGCTTTCAGTATCCTGTCCTCTGAAACACACATGGGCCCATCTAACTCACCAGATTCCTAGAAGACTAGGAACCTAGGAGAAAACAACTCTTACTTACCTCTGTTCTTTGTGTTTTGTTCCCTTCCCCACTTCTACCAGAGAAGCCACCCCAAAATATTTTAATGTTTAGGGCCAGTGTTAGGCAGGGAAGAAATCTGACGGCAGACCCTGTAAACCAGGTGACGACCCAGATGAGGTCTTTCTGATATCTCCATCTCATACTGTGCCTGACTGACTGACACAGTATCCTCTTTTCCCCCTTCAATCAGCCTGGTCTAGACCTGAGTTCACTCTCTTTTTTTCTCCCTGGGAATTTTTTTTCTTACATTGTCCACACTTGGCACCTACAAGGACAGAACATCATCATCATCAAGGCTAGTGCTTATTAATTTCTCAGTAGGTGCTAAGTAATTTGTGCACACTCTTCTATTTGTTCTTTACAACTGCCCTCAGAGAGATGGGGACATTATTACTCCCATTTTACAGAGGATAATCAGAGGACTGTCACACAGTTAGTAATGGGAAAATCTGGAATTCAAATCTTAAATCCCCTTTCCAAAACTCATACTCTTGCCCACAGGGCTGTGCTGCTCCCTAGAAAAAATAAGGTGAGCAGGACAGGGAATGGGGTCACCACATCATGGAGCTGCCACTCCAGCTGCACCACAATCTAGTTACCAGGCCTTTCCCTTCTCTCCATCAGGATGTCATATGATTCTCTGCATCTCCAACTTGTCAACCCCATAAAATATCATTTACATAGCTAGACATACCTCTTACCAGGCACTCTTGTGTTTCCCATCTCTCACATACCACCACAACCCCGTTGCATGACCACTTGGCTTCCACTCCTAAGTAATAGTCCAAGGGTGTGCTAAATATATCTTAGCACTCAATCATTGATAAATTACCTTCATGGAAATGTTGGAAGTGGGATGGAAGGTATTAGCCTCATTCTGTAGATGAGGAGAGAGCTCTACTGAGTCAATGAATGGTTTAACTAGGTCTGCAGGACTGAATCCTTCTAGAACCTATTCCATGATAGAGTCTCTCAAGAAAAATACAAAGTATGGCTGAGGATAAGTTACTTATAAATATAAGGTCCTGGTAGACTGGGAAGAGTTTAACAGGGCAGATTGTACTTCACTGGGGCTACCTTGCCAAGGTGAGGATTTGTCACCTGGCCTACCCAACATGAATCCCCTGGTGAGTGGGTGAGAACTCTGGATTCCCCACCCCTAGCCTCCTTACCCTAAAAGAGAGGAGTGGGAGGCACGTGTTAGGGTCAGCTCCCAGCTGTTGCAGGACCTCCTCTCCTGCCACCTTGCTCCCTCTTCTCAGGAGGCCGGGAAAGCCAGAAGAGAGGCTTTGCCTGAGGTCACCTCCTGGACTCTGCTATGTATTCCTGCCTCCCGCAGATGGATTTCCAAACCCTTTGCTTCTTCCTGGCCTCTGGCTTCTTGCTTCCTCCTTGATTCAACTGTAAAGAGATTGAAAACCAAGTTCTTCTTGGTTTTCACCAGAAGCAGTGGGCCATGAGAAATACTTGACATCCAGCCTGGCCTTAGGTGTCTATGCAGTGACTTCTAATGGAGTCCGTTGTTCTTGATTAATTGCACTTCCATGTCACTCCTTTCTTGGCAAACACAAGCAGTTTCTTGATTCTGGCTAGTGTTGCTTCTTTATGCAATAGAACAATGAACACAAACTCATGAACTGCTGATAGAACCTTCTAGTTGTATTCTTCCATCTTTGAATAGCTTCCCCTCCTCGCAGCGTGCCAAGCAATTTTACCAGTTTTGTCGTCAGGGTGAGTTCTATCTAGACTTTCAAACATTTAAATATAAATATAGAGTTATCTGTACCAATTCGCTTCTGAAAGTAAATATGCTTTTAGGGCTCCAAGAGTATTGCTATTGCCTTTGTGATTGATTCCCTCTGGGAAAATTGTATTACTTTTTGAAAATATCAGTGAACATTTGATGTATGTTCACTGTGACCACGTGATGCTGCCTCCCACAAGGAAGTAATTTCAGCTGGGAAGGTGGTGATTACAGATGGCACAACAGTCTCTTTGTAAAAGCAGAAGTGTACGGTCAGCCCTTATTTCTTGATTGCTGACGTTTTGCCCCTGACATTTCGTAGGTCTCCTTGGTCCACACCCCATACCCCAGCTGGCTCCTTCCCTTGTAAACCAGGAGAAGATCACCGGGTAGCCTGGTGTCTGAGGTTGCTGATGCTGGAAGATGCCGCTGGAAGTAGAAAGCATCCCCCACCCACCCTGATCCTGAAGTTCATGCCTTCTCCCACCCCCACCAATGGCACAGGTCTTCCTAAGTGAAAGAGAACAGGGTAAGGAAGAGGAGACAGGATGAGGCTTACATCCCTTAGGGCTCCTTCTCCTGATCACCATGGGAAACATCTTGCACACCTGCCATCTTCTCTGACCATTGCAACCAAGTGGTATCAGTTCTCTTTCCCTAGGGGAATATTAAACTTTTTGCTCTTTTCATCCTGATAAATTCTGAAGCCCAAAGAGCATAGTTTGATACTCCCTCATGGCCCACTTTAAATATTGGGATGCAACTGGATCCTGTGCCAGAGTTTTGAGTGGCCTCCAAGAGTGATTCTGGATCTCTATAGAAGGTCCTTGTTTATTAGTGGAGGGTCCTCAGACCCGAGATGGCTTGAAAGCTAATGGGTCCAGGAAAGAGACAATCCCTCCCCCCAAGGTACCTCCTCAGAGCCATCCAAGGGAGATGAGAAGGATGAGCAATGATCCTACAGATGCAGAGGTCTCTGGGGATCCTACAGAGGAGAGAGCGTCAGGAAGCTGTCCATATCCACGTCTCCACTGTGCACCTCACTGCAGACTCCATCCCGAAGCATATTCCCTTAAAGGACCCAAATCCCACCTGCTACAACCAATCTGAAAACTTGAACCTTGTTTTTTAATCTTGCTGCACCTCTGCAAGGTAACTGTGACCTTAGGTGGGCAGGATTTCATGGTGTCATAGCTCTGTGCTTCTGACCAGTGTGGGTGAGAGTAAGCACTCAGTAACCTCATACCCCACTGTGCATTCACGTGGTAGAGACTGGTGCTGGCGAGGAGACCTGTGTTCTCCCTGCGTGAATGTCTGTGTCTCCCTTAATGCTAGAAATATTAGCTCTTGTCTTAGTCACTGAAGGCCTTGACTGTGTATTACAGGACCAGTCACCTCTTGGACTGGGAAGTGACCACCTCCTAAGTCACGTAGCTTAGAAGCGAGCAGATGGCTACTTCCACTGATTCTTTTTCTCCATTATGACACCCTCCCCTCACCTGTGCCCCTCTAGGCACTGATAGCAACTCTTCAGCTGCTCTTTATTCTGCTGTGTGCTTGATAGGATATGATGTCCATCCATACAAATAGAAGAGTCACTTTAAATTGAAAGAATTTCATGGCACAATAAAAGCCCCACACTTAGCCCCTGAGCCACAAGAGATGACCTGTATGTCCATAGGAAGGCGTAGTTTCTTTGACACTAATATCTGTATGTTTCTGTCCCTGCAGCCTTAGGAAAATCCAAAGGTACGGTATCCTCGGGTAGCCTCGAGGCCACGTTCGGTCTCGGAAAGCCCAGCAAGCTGTGCCTTAGTGAGCGCTGCCAGAGGGTGAATGTGCCGTGTTTGGTTGCTTGGCCGACTTACTTGAAGCTGACTGTGTTCCCATCATTAAAATTAAATCAAAGCCCCTGGTGACCATAGGCATGGTCAGCCCCTTCCCTGCTGTGTAGATAAGTGGGTGTGGCCAGCAGAGGTGGTAGCTTGGCCAGGGTCCTGGGCTTGAGCACGAATCCCGAGTGGGTCCTGTGCTCTAGACCTCCAAGTGACAGAAGAAGAAGGATGGATATTTAGATGTCTCCTGCTGGTCAGTGCGAGTTCCAGTCTGACGCCGCCCGGGTCCCTATCCTGCCCACCTCCATCTCCCGCTTGGGAGGAGTGAGTGCCCCGCAGAGAGGCCGCATTCTGCTCTGAGGGAAGCTTGGATTCCACGCCCAGATCCTAAGGCCAGCTGGCTTTGGCAGAGGGTGGAAGCCAGCTGGCAGCTGTGCCAGGGCCGCTGGTGTGGGGCCCGGCCTGGAGCAGCCAGGGTGCTCCGAGCGTCGCCTGCCCGGCCGTCCGCGGAGCACGGTAGATGCCTCGCTTCCCTGGGCCCAGGAGGGTGCTAAGGCTGTGCTGCTGTTCTCCTAACGCGGACGTGCTTGAATGTGTCCGCTTCGTGGGGGAGGGAGCCTGTCGCCTGTCACTCGTGGGTAAGCAGGTGTCTTTGTGTCCCTCGTCAGCATGGGCGTGAGGGTCATGGACACATCCTGGGTGGCTCGAAGAGGCTCCTCGGCCGGCCGGAAAGCATCGTGCGCCCCACCCCCGATGCAGCCCCCCGCCCCGCCCGCCGAGCCGGCAGCGCCCCTGCCATCGCCCGTGCCCGAGCAGCCCCCGGACGGCCCGGCCTCAGCGGCGCCTTCGCTCTCTCCATCTGGCCTGGGCCTGCAGCCCAGCGCCGCCGAGCGGACCAGGTAAGCGGCCCCGCAGCGGGGGCGGGCGGCGCGATGCGCGGAGGGTGGCCGGCTCTGCCGCACCGCTCCGGGCCTCTTGGACTCTGTCATCTCCCGAGTTCACGTTCGAGTTCGGCTTTCTCCGCCGTGCTGGCACCCAGTAAGTCATTCACAGCTCCCTGGATTATCAGATAAAGCTCAGGCTTCCCAAGAATAGCATCCCCAAGAAACCGTGGAAGGCTGCAGCTTGCTCAAGAGAGCGAGGACTCTGAGTTCCCACCTCTGCGTTTCCACCTTCCTATGCCTGTAGTGTGCTTCTTTGGAAATGTAGAATGCCAGTGTTTCTGCCTCCCTCTCCTCTACCTTTAGATTCCTAGGAGCCATTTTTACTGCAAAGGAGAGACGGAGTGGAGGTCACCTGGTCATGCTGGGTCTGGTGACCTTTGCAGCAGGGTTGTATTTCCATTCTTGTAGGGGAAGAAAAAAAAAGTGAGCACAAGCTCCTTCCATCACTAGTTCAGTGAACATTTATGGAGGACCCTGCTGTCCAAAGATGAAAGATTAGCTCTGTGCCCTTAAGGCACATGCGCCCCAGAGAGCAAATACACCCTGACAGATAATTACAGCACATGGTCATAGCCAGGGTGGCGGGGAACCAGGCCATATCTGGTCTTTCCTGAAAAGGGGCGTGGTCAGAGGAGAGTCTAGAAGTGGGAATGGCACAAGGATACTGCTGTTCGTTTGTTTCTGTCTGTTCTAAAACAATTCAGGGAAGTAGGAAAGCTGTGTCAGATCAGACACTCCTGGGCATTCTGTTAGGGGACACAGCATTCCTCCACGGCCCCTGCTGGAAAATGCTAGAGACTTTGGGAAGCTGAACCTTTTAACCCAATCTTTACACACACAAATACTAACCCCCTAAATGAAGGGATCGCAGGGTTTTCCTTTTCCTTTAATGAGTAGAAGGGATCTTCCCTGTGAAATGGGGAAATGACAAAGGTAAAGGGGGACAATCGCAGAGTTCGGGAGGGGGAACCGACACTGCACGTGCTTGGGTTGTTGCTGCTGCTCCAACTCAGAGAGGACAAGGCACCCAGCCTTGGCTGTGTACTCACCCGGGCGCCAGGTCCACTTGAGAAATGCGGATGGGGGAGAAGCGAGTTCAGTGGAGAAGCAGAGGCCAATGGCTGTGGGTCAGAGAGGCTGATGAGGAGGAGATGACAAATAGACTGATTTGCTAGGACACTTCCCTTTTGGACACTCGTCGGCTTCATCCTGATTTCCCATCTTATAACTGAGACTTGGTGCCAAAAGATATTTGACATATAAATGATATTTCTAGAAAATGCCTGTCAAAGATGGATTTCCCCAGGCCCTGAAGGTGTTCCCAGAATGTTACGGATGGTTGACCTTGCAGAGTCACTCCCAGGCAGGAAACGTCGCCCACTGGTTCAGGTTATTTAAAAGGTCAGTCCCATTGCCCTGCAGTCATACGCCCCTTTTTCCCAGGGTAACCAGTTCTTTAGCTTTCCTCTGGGTGTCAATATCCTTATGTGTCTTGTACCACTCTTTTTTTCCCCACGTGGATTCCGTCCAATACAAATGGGTGTTCCATTGTTTTTTTGTTTTCTTTTTTTTTCTGTTTTCTGGACATTTGCAGCCCAGATGATGTTTCCTCCAGTTGCCGGATTCCTGTTACGGCTCCCCCTACCCTGAGGATGGCAGGCCCTTCCCTCCCTCTGGCTTGCTCCCACCTTCCCATTCCCTACCCAGGTCTGTCCCCTCCAGGCCTGGCGGCTCTCTCTAGCCAGGCTCAGCCACCTCCCACTCATCTGCTTGGCATTAACTATAAACCCAAACTCTGCTTCTTGCCCCTTCGCACCCCAGCTCACTGAGTCATGCGTCCCCAGAACTAACCAGCCCTTGAACGTGCCGTAACCATGGCTCCTTCATCTAGTGCTCTTAATAACCACCTTACACCCTACCTCTCCCCACTGGGTCAGCTGCACCCATGCTGCAGAGAGAGGAACAAGGCTACGTAGGTAAATACTTGTTTCTGTGATGCGGGAAGGTGTATCAGGTGGGAGGGAAAAGGACAAGTTTCTTGGTCCCTAGATTTCTTGGACAGATGTCTTCTCCATCCAGAGGAAGGAAGGAAAGTCTGTTATCCCACAAGAAGCAATTTTTTTGTTTGCTTGTTTTGTATTTTCTTTTGTTTTGCTTTACCTTCCTCTGATGGTGGTAGAGATGGATGGAAGGGCAGAGAGATATTTGGCATTACTGCCTGGCTGCCTGGTGACCTTGGGCCTGAAGAAGAAAAAAAGACCAGTTCTTGCCCAACCTGAGAGAGGCAAGGGTTTTCTGGTATTTTTGTTGTTTGTAGTTGCTTTTTGTTGACAGAATAGAGAATAGAATTGCTGCTCTTCTGGTCCCTGTGGATGAAATGTCTTTTTCCTTGGGGAGGTACCTAGGTGTGGTATAAAACTCATCCCAAGAAAGAGAGAATGTGGTCTTCCCTCCGTCCCTTCAGGTGACGAATACTAGTTGTATTTGAGTGTTTGCTGTTCCAGCCCAGGTCCTTGCCTCCCAGACTTTCTCACCATACCCCAGTGGAATGAGAAGTATATGCCTAGCTCTGTAATATTTGGAGTTTCTAAATAAATTTAGAGACGAAATGGGCTGTAGCTCCTTTTGTGGGAAGAAATAGCTGTTGCAAAGGATTTAGTTTCCCAAACTGCCTATGCCCTACCTGAGCGGGTCAGAATCCAGGTGGGTTCTAGCAAGGATGACAGGATTGCTCCCAACTCCAAGGTCACCTTCCTCGATTTGCTAGGAGTTGCCTGGAACATTATGTTGAAATGAGTGAGAACCATGTGGGGAAAAGATGGAGATTGATTAGTAATGTCTGCCATGGATGGCGTATGGGGGATGTTGAGGAGTGAGGAGTCAGCCATATATTTGCTGCCCCTGGTCTATGGAGTGCTGGTCTATGGAGTGGAGTTGAGCAGGGTGTCTTTTAACATGTACTTCATCCTTAGGAGAATGCCTGAGAAAGAGTTAGCAGTGAAGGATGAATCCTCTTTGGGACCTGGTGACCCAGGGTGTTCTTTTATCAATTCATGGGACTCCATAGGCCCTCACTGCCATTGACCCTCACCCCCCTCTAAGCCTGCAGGACTGGGACTTGAACTGGCCCACGTTCAGGAGTATAGCCAGAGTCTGTGTCAGCCCTACCATCTGCTGGGATCTGTTACTGAGTTTGAGGGTGGGTCCCAGACTTCCTCCCCTGTTTGGGGCTGTGGTGGAGGCTCAGGGAAAGCAGCTGGAGAGCTGGAGAACCGTGGCCATAAGGCTTGGCAGAGTGAGCCCAAGTCATCAGCCCCCATTCAGCACACTGACCCTAAGAAGTCCTCTCGCTCTGGTATGCTGTGGATACAGAAGGGACAAGAGCACTTAACTGTACCAGTTTCAGAATGTGCGAGAATCCCATGTTGATCACAGGATATAGTGGGGATGCTCAAGGGCCCTGCCTCCCACTGCTTGTGGCCTCCTTGTGGAGAGAAGGCAGAGCTCCATAGAAGGAGCTGGCAGTGAGTGCCACACGGAGATGGGGATGGAACCCACGCTGGAAGAGCCCTAAGAAGGGACAGTCACCTCCGGGGGCATCTTTGAAGGCTTTAAGAAGGGCCCGAGACAGACCAGAGCTGGGACAGACTTGAGCTGAGCCCGGGAGCGCGTACTGCGATCCACAGTGCTGGTGCTGAAGTTGCCTGAGTTCAGTTCTTTTTTGTTCTGTGTGCTTGTGTTTCAGCACTTCTAAAAGCAAGGAACTTTCTCCAGGATCTGGGCAGAAAGGAAGTCCAGGCTCCAGCCAGGGGCCACCCTGTGCAGGGACGCAACCAGGGGTGCAGCCAAGCGCCAGCCCCAGCCAGCCGCCTGCAGACCAGAGCCCTCACACCCTGCGGAAAGGTACATCACCACCACCCTCCACACTGGTCTCAGGGCAGAGAAAGCTGTTACACTGCTGAAAAACTCATTTCCATGAATTAGCATGGATATTTGGAAACCGTGGGGCTTAGTGAAAACTTCCTGATCTGGGCATTAGAGCTTTTGGAAGTTAACCAGCTCCAAGAGGGATCATTCCATCGTTATTCCTTGGTTTACTCATTTGAACAGCAGGCTCGTTAGGGGCACATATAGGGCATTGCTTCCCGTCCACCAAGACCTCTGTGCAAGAATCATTGCTCAGGATGTCTTGTGTCTTCCACGGACCATGCCAGGCTCTCCCGCCATCATTTAAAACTGTGTGGAGTCTTCTGCAGGAGCTGCCTGTCCCCCACCCAGGGCCTGGTATAGCCTCCTACCCCTGGGATTGTCTGCAGAAGCTGACAGAGGAGAGGACCGGGATTGTTCCTGTAGGAGTCCTGCCCTTCGACGTTCTGTTTTGGAAGGCCTGAGGATTTCTACACTGCCCCAGGAGCCACCCACCCCAGAATCTGCCACTGGAACAGAGTAAAAGTCCCCATTATTCCCTCTGAAATGACTCTCAGAAGGCAAAGACATGCTCCGTGGTGACACTTCATAAATGGGGAGCTGCACGGAATGTGTACTTATCCAGACCTTTTTGGTTTTCACCTTGTGTCAGCTCTTAGCGAAGTCTTTAACTTGTTTAAAATAGCGTGTTGTTTAATTTGTTCTCACTTCAGGCCTTTCCAGCATCTAGATGTGGCTTTAGCTCCAGGATTTATGGAAGAGGGCTGGTTCTCCTTATCCACACTGACCTTCATGGCAGGTCCCTTTCCAGCCTCACTTGCCCCATTATCCAAGTCAGCCCTCACCCGGCCCCTCCCTCTTGTCCATTCCCCACTCAGTCCTCCGGCCTCCTACAGACTTCTGTGGAGCCCTACTGTGTGCAGAGCAGCAGACAGCCTCTCCAGAAAGGCAAACATGGAAGTGCAATGCAAGGGTGGTGTGTTCAGGATGTGCTGAGGACCCCTCCAGATGCAGGAGTTTGGCCAAAGTGGCGGCGGTGGGATTCAGGATGCCAGGGCTTTTCTCCAGCACCAACAGGTTTTCCTTGCCGTCTAGATAGAGTTCTCTCACTGTCTTTGTTTACAAGGCCTTTGACCCTCCCAGCCATGTAAGGCAGGGTGATGGAAAGCCATTGTTCTGTCCAGAGGGGTCGGGGATCCTGTTCCATGCCAGTCAGCTTCCCAGGGCCAGTGGCAGGTTGTCCCTTTCAGTTTTCACAGCACATTAGACCTATGTAGCGAATGTGACCTGGAATGACTCAGGTCCCTTACCCAGGTGACACATTCAGTAGCTCAGAGCCAGCACTGGACAAGTACAACTTTCTTCTCCACCCTCCATCATGCCCACTCATGGCACACTGAGCATTTTTTTTTTACCCCCAAAGTCTTTTGACAGTGTACCTACAGTTTTACATCATGGCCTAGTCCTGTCGCTACCCAGATTAGTAAAAGCCGTCACGGACATCTTGGTGACGTCACTGCACCCTCCCTCTCCCAGCTCACTTAGGGGAAGACACGCCAATCTTCCACCCTGGGGGCCTCCACTCATGGTTCATCCAGTGGAGTGATTCCTGCATCAGCCAAGAGACCTGAAAAGAGGCTTTAGTACAAGTCGTGATTATAGTATATGTGCTTTACGTGCAGGATCCCATTTAATTATCGCAGTGCTGTGGAGAAAATCTTATTCTTCCCCTTGTATAGAAGAGGCTTAAACAAATTGCCCCAGGGCAGACAGCGGGTAAGACAGGACAGGAATTTGAACCCAAGTTAGTGGGTCTGTGAAGAGCACGTTCTTGTCCACACTGCACACGAAGGAGCCAGGGCAGTCCATGCATGAGGCATGATGAGAAGAGATTTTGTTCCATGGAGAGGTGGGGGTGGGGTGGGGGAAGAGTCCCTGATGCCTCCTTGAGGGCTTAAAAGACAGTTTCTTCTAGATGAGTGCTACCCACAGCCAGCCCTCACTTAGTTCTGACAGATTAGTGATTGCTCTTTCAAGGCGTTTGTGCATCAATGGGATCTTCCAAATGTTTAAGTTTGTCATTCTTACCAATTCATCTTCAATTAAATGTGTAATATGTCTTTGTTACCCCTTAGCATGATTAAGTAAATAAAAAGAGGAAAATGAAGACAATGCAGGGGAGTTGGAGCAATGATATGTTTAGAAAAATGCAGTAGATCTGGACATATTTATATCCAGAGGGCATGATTCTGGAAAGAAAAGCACCCCACAGGCAAGTGCACAGGATTGAGGGGAAGGACCGGCATGGGCAGATGAAGCGATGGAGGCACTGGGCTTCTGTGGCCAGAGGACTTGGTCATATGTCCCCATTATGATTTCCCAGAGATTGGGCAGATTCAGCCAAAAGTCACTTTCCTATCCTGAGGACAGTGGCCCAGTCCAGGGTCCAGTGGCGCAAGTTGAACTCTAATCATGGTCTGTTGGACGTGCATCACTGACTCCCTTTTCCTCGCTGGACCACTGACACCTTTCACCACTACAAAGTGATGAGAGGACGCTGGGAAACCAGCCACTGCCTGCGGATGGGAAACTTGTTCTGTAGTTTGGCTTGGCAGGGGGTGGGTGTAGATCATGGCAGGAATCCAGAGAAGAGGAGGAGAAATTAGTGAACAGATGGGGAGATGTGAAAACTTGCAGTTCTAGGTGAATTTTTAAAACATGTATTGGCTGCTCTCAGGGTGGGAAGAGCCAGGGGTAGGGATGAGGGGCTGGCGAGGGGTAGGAGGTGATGAAGGGTGTGTTCACAGGCCGCACGGACGACGGGTTTCATTTAACAGCCTTGTGTGTTGTTGTTGTGTTTTCTCTCTCAGTTTCCAAGAAGCTGGCACCAATCCCACCCAAGGTCCCCTTTGGCCAGCCCGGGACCATGACTGACCAGCCCACCGGCCAGCCGTCCCCACTCAGCCTGTCTCCCACCCCACCGAGCACCCCGTCACCCTACGGACTGAGTTACCCTCCAGGGTACTCTCTGGCCTCGGGCCAGCTCTCCCCGGCTGCCGCAGCTCCTCCCCTGGCCTCTCCTTCCGGCTTCACGAGCACTTTAACCAAGTCGCGGCCCACCCCTAAGCCCCGACAGAGACCCACTCTGCCGCCGCCTCAGCCTCCCACAGTGAATCTCTCGGCCTCTAGTCCGCAGTCCACGGAGCACCCCGTGCTAGATGGCATGTCTCCTGGGGAAAGCATGTCTACAGGTAACCAAGATTCTCATTTTTCCATGAACCTCAGCAAAATGTCCCAAGTGGAGGGATAGCTCATGCCAGTGCCAGTTAACAATTCCCTGTGTGCCACGGGATGGCTGTGCTGGTGCCATGCATCGCTTCCACGATGACCTCCTTAGAAGCCCTCCGTAAGGCAGTGGAAAGCAGCCCTGGGATCCAGGTTGTCCTGCACAGGCTTCTTAGGGGGGTTCTCCCAATTGAGTGCCCGCCAGCCCAGGGTTCTGATCCTGCTCTGAACTGGGGGGCTGCGTGCCCTGAGTTCTTTGCAGGGGTGCTTCAGGAGAGGCTGGAAGCTGGATTCTGATTGCAGAATGGCTGGCATCACAGCCAGTGGAGGTACCGGAGGCTTTCCTTGGGTTGAGCCCGGGCCTGGAAACAGGTACCAAGCTGTGTCTTGAGAACACAGGCTAGAACTGAAGACACTGTTTCCTGTTAACTAAGCCTTATTAGAAAAACATATTTCTAGCAATATATATTTAGAAAGGGTCAGTTTCAGAAAAGATGCATGTCCCTCTGGTTCTTTGAGGACCTCACTGGACAAGCCCATAACTGCTAAATTTAGTTTTGCTTTAAATTTAAAATCAAAGACAGAGCTATCTTCCCCCAGAAAAATGTGTAACCATGAAATCACAAACACACACCACATTTGGCAAAAATCATTTGTTGGTTGGAAGAAGAGGACATTTTTAAAATTTCTCCTCAGATGCTTTGACCGCATGAGATTAGAAAGTCAGGGTGTATTTGTGGTGGCCGCTAAAGTCACTATAGCACTTTCCTTGGAATAGAGCCGGCCTGCCATGTCACCAGGGCAGACAGCCTAAACATAGCCATTTAGTGTTGTCCCAAGTGGCAGAAGGCGAGGCAGCTTGGGATGGATCACACACACACCCCCGCCCAGATGCATACACACACACGCACACACATACACCACACACAGGGACACATATGAACACCACACAGATATACACACATGCACACACACACACACCACACACCATACTACGCAGACACACAAATACGCACACAAACCACACGCAGACACAAAGAGCAGTGCTAGGTCCCAGTGCACTGAGACTTCTCATCGGACTGTGCCTTTGTCCCCACCTCCTTCTCTGAGGGTGACGGGTTTTCCCTTGATTCGATGGACGGCTGGCCTGTGGAGCTCAGCTCCTTGCTGCCTATGAAAAGGCGAGTCAAGTGGAATGTCTGGGATGGGTCAAGAGATTCAAACATCGTGGGAGCAGCCGTCTGGTGATTTGGCTTCTTTAGTTTTGGACGTGATTAATGTTGTGTGGAAGGGACCACTGCTGTCAGCTACCCTGAGGCTTATAAAACATGAAGGAAATTCATCCTTGAAAAACGACAGTGAGCCCCACTCTCGGCTTCCCACTGGTAGTTCTTGGGGGTGACGCATGCTTCCTGAGGGAGCCCAGATGGCGGGAGCACAGGCCTGCTGCCCTCAGGGCTTGTGGGCGCACCCAGGAGCTCATGGTCACCCCCAGGGGGCTCGAGGGGCCACTCCCACCAACACATCAATCTGCCAACTGCACCAGCCACACCAAGGAGGGGACACAGGGTAGTGCCCATACTGGAAGCAACAGAATGAGCGGAGGACATCACTCCGGACAAACAGAAAGATAACAGGATGAGAGGAGAAATCTGGGGGCAAAAAGTGGGCAACAGAAGGCATTGAGGGGCAGTACCCCCATGGCTGCGTGAGAAACGTAACATTTAAGGACTGCTGACCTTTAGAATTAATACTGCCCGCCCCCGACCCCCGCACACCGTTTTGTTGTAACGTTTGGCGGCAGACTGTTCCGTCCCGTGTGTGCAGGTCTCAGCCCGTGTGGAATCCGTAATGACTGGTGTGCTCCACCTCACTGTGATACTTGGCAGAGTTGTTTGTTACGTTCTTGCTTCCTCGTGTTTATGCCTTTCTCCGAATCCTATCATTGTGTTCTTGCAGCTGTGTGACATGAGTGACGCAGTTTTGGATACGTGTGAGGGGGATTTTCAGGGTAAGCGGCCCCAGCCTCGCCCCCTCCGCCCTCGCCCAGCCGGGCCACAGCTCTCCGCTCTGCTCTCTGCATGTGGCCCAGACCACGCATGGCAGCTTCACTCTTGGTGCCTCCCCAGCCGCTGCAGGAACGACCGGTCCACAAGCTCATTGGGCTTTTGGAGACCACTTTCTTTCTTTTCGGGGGGAGAAAGCCAGCAAGCAGGCTGAGCCCCTCTTCTCCCCGACCTTCTCTTTCCTGTCACCTAATCTCAGTCCCTCCCTCCCTTTCCATTTGGTTGAGAATTGAAGGGGTACCAGACCTGTTCTTCACATGACGTGGCTTTGTGTCACTGGATTGCTCGCTGAAGACTTTGCACCCAGTGTCCGGGGAAGATGCCCCATGCGCACCAGTTTAGGGAAGTGCCCCGACCGGAGGGCCCGTTGTGCAGTGGGCACCCCCTCCCCAAAAGGGCCCCGCAGCTTGTTCTTGGCGGCCGCGGTGGGCACTAGCGGGCTCCACTTTCAGACGTAAATTCTATCTTGTCTTCCTCTGGGCTGAGACAGCTGGCAGATCCTGAAGAATCCATAGCATAAGAATTCATCCTGAGCTCATTTTTTCCTAGTATATGGACAGCCAGATCCTTTCTAACTCAATATTTTGGAAGCGTTTATACCAGTTTCTGCCTGGTCTCCTATAAAGAGCAGATAATCAAAAGTAAACCGAGGCAAGACCATGAAAGCAGCTAAAAGGCATCAGGTGTTTTTGCTACAGTAAGAAGGGGCGGCCAGAGCAAACCAGGGAGGGCCCTCCAGTGCCCCCTGAAAGCCCTCAGCCCGTGGTCCCATGGAAACCAGTCTCCTCACAGACACTTCTGGAGCTGCCTCTAAACCCAGAAACAAGCTTCCCTTTGCCCAGCAGTGTCAGTGCAGCTTCTCTCCCTAATCTGCTCCCTGACTCCTGGAACTGCCTTCCCCCTCAGGGGTCTGTGTAAGGGAGCAGCCTGAAGGGGAACAGCTGAGCCGCTCACCTCCAGCGTCTGTCCTGGGCCGGGCCTCTTTACTGCTCTAGCTGCCTGTCACGTTTAAACCCATCACCACCCTTTGTTCCCATTTGGCTGCTGAGGCACAGGGAAGGTAAGAAACTGGTCCAAGGTCACACTCCCCATCTGTAACAGGGATGGGATCTTGACTCCAAGCCATAGGGCGGGCCCAGGCCAGCAGTGATGGCAGGGCACTCACAGTCCTGTGAGGCAGGAGGGGAGCAAGTGGCACTGGCCATGCCCAGCCTCAGACTGTCTCTGCTCCATTAGGCAGCCGCAAAAGACAAGCTGGAATGACATTTTGAGGACTGTTGGAGATGGGTGAGAGAGAAGGACCTTTGTCCCAGAGCTTCCATGTCTGTTAACGTCTTTCACGATGGTGTCCAAATGTCTGTCTGTCCACTTGGTCTGGTATTCCTGGGGCTGAATGTTTGTTTACAAAAAACGAAGGAAAACCCCACCGGCCCAGGACTGCTCTCCTCCTAGGCGCACTTCCTGTCACCCCGAGTGCTGCTCCGGGCTCAGATTGACAGCAAGGCTAAGTGGAGGGCAGAAACAACACAGGCTGAGGGGAGGAGGTGCACGACTGTGAGTGAGGGCTCCCAGGGCCCATGGGTCTTGGCTCCCTTGTACCCCACTGAGCCTCCCGCAGCCCCGAGGAAGCAGCAAGCTCAGGCTGCCCCAAGTCCCTGGGGAGCGGCTGCGGCTCCAGGCCCCAAGCACGGTGGCCTTGCCTATACCGAGGTGCTAGCTCAGGACTTATCTTTGCCAACTCACAGATGTCCTGAATCCCACAGGCACTGAGCCCTGTGACCTCAGGTACATTCTTCCTGGTCATCTCCCAGGAAGAATGACCTTTTAATGGTCCCAATAAGGATGGAACTTCAGGGGAGCAGGTTCCCTACTGCTGAGACGCAGGGTTTTCCCACAGCCCGGGAGCAGTTTGCTCCAGGTAGTCCTGGGGTCCTGAGGGAGATGCTCCATCCTGCCTCCACCAGCCTTCCAGAATGTGCCGCATATGGCCCTAGAGGGAGGCACCGGCTCAGGATCGCCCCATTCACTCACGGGCTGGGAGAATGGGTTTTTCCCCTGTCTTGTACCCTGTCCCTGCAGACTTTAGAGAACTAAATGCAGCCCTGAAATCCCCAAAAAGGTGTCATTTAGACCTGCCCAAAAAGCATCCTTTATATGGAGAATTGAGCTCGAGGGTGGAGGTGTGCGTGGCCAGGCTTGGGGAGCTGTTCTGTCCTCACTGAACCCCCCGGGGCTGAATCTAGATGCATAGGTCCTACAGGCTGGTGGGGCGGAAGCACAGCAGCCAGACTCCAACCTGATCCTGCGATAAACTGCAGGTTTACCGACCCCTAGATGAGCTAGGCCCTCAGTGACCAAATTGCTGCCGCATCCTGATGCCGGGCATCCGCCACTGTCAGCGTCGCTTGGGCGGAAGCCCCTTTTCAGCCGCCTTTCTCTCTGCCAACCTCCAGATCTCGTCCACTTCGATATCCCCTCCATCCACGTAGAGCTCGGGCCGACGCTCCGCCTGAGTCCCCTGGAGCACATGCGGCGACACTCAGTGACTGAGAAGAGGGACTCGGAGGAGGAGTCTGAGAGCACCGCGCTCTGACTGCACCCGCCCGTCCCGCGTGTGCACACGTGGGCCCGACACACCCCTGCAAGCCGCCCTGGCTGGCCACGTGTTCTCCGTTGGCTCTTTGCTGTCACTGCCAACTCGCGGTTGGAGTCTTGCAGAAAACTGTCATCTCTAGCCCGAGTGGCAAATGTCAGTGGTGCCGATTTTGTTTGTTCCCTTCAGGTGGTGACTCTGGCCTTTTGTTTGATCTTTGCCTTTTGACTTTGTGCCTATTTTGATCCACTTTCAGCCTCCATGCCCATAACAGCCCTCTCTCCACCTGAGGGCTTGCTGTCAGAAATGTCCTTTGCAGGTAGGGGTGTGAGGGGGGGTCGAGTTGGCCGGTAGACCTGGGGGCTGCCTGCCACCTGTACTCTGACAGCTGATGTCAAGTCCTATGGTGTCAGTTTAATGGCTCCAGAAGGGAAGTGGGATATGGGGGGGGGCCCTTTCACTCACATGGGACGAGTTCTGGAATCCTAGAAGTGCTGGGGCACTGACTTGCCTGCTACACAGGGGAGGGCTGGCTGGTGGAAACCTTTAGGGCTGCCCTTAACCCATGAGCACTAAAGTAAATGGCTAAAAATGAAATTCATTTCACTTCCTAGCAGTTTCATTTTTCCACACTATATGACTGAAAGCCCCCTTTACTACCTTATCGTTTTATACTTGTGAATTTAAAAAATGATCTTGAGGGTGTCTGGAGAGCCCAAAGATAGCTCCTCAAGCCCCCCCAAAACACATTAGATGTCTGACAGTAATTGCACCCCTCCAGGATCCCGGGGGCGCCCACCTCACTAAGTACGTGGGGTCCAGGAGCTGCCTCTTCTTTCTGGAGGTCACCAGTGAATAGCAATAATTCTGTTACCCAAAGCACGTAAAGGAAAGTGAGACCAGCCCGCGGAGACACCTGGCCAGCACCACGGGCCCGCGGTGTGGCGCGCTTCGCTCACCAGCATCCGTTGCTCATCCCTTCTCATGCAGTCCCATCCATTCTCTGGGAGGCGGGCTGGAGGGCACGGGGAGCCTGGTCACACTTGGGATTAAGGGAGTGAGAAAGAGATGCGGGTCATGCATGCAAAGTCAAACCTTACAATTTTATCCTTTTAAAATAGATATGATATACCTATACATGATATAATATTTGTATATATGAAATCTCTCTATATTTGTTTAATTTGAGCCATTCAATCTAAACCAATGTACAGGTGTACAATGAGAAATTTAAATGCTTAGTTATTTTTCCCAACACAGTGTAAAATAACCCTTCTCTGACAGTGGGATTTGCAAACTTTTGATGTTAACAGCTTTGCTCACTTCCTGGCAAGGGCAGTTCAGTACCCAATTTGTAATGGAGCCCAGGGGTTGAAAGTTACCTTTAAATACATGTACAAATAGTTGTCCAAAGTAATGTTATTAAAATAGATTTATTATCCGTGAGCGTGGCCTTCTCGTTTTAGTAATAAGCTGGTGGGAGCACAGGACTCCATCTCAGATGCTGCCTCAGGAGAAAACCTGAGGTCCCAGCTAGGCAAGGCCAAGTCTTTGGTCTGTCTCTGTCTTGTCACCTGAGTTTTTAAAGCTTTTTCTATGTTCTCCTGGATAGGGAGAATACACAAAAAAACTCTAGATTTAGCTTTGAAAATTCTCTCAATTTTCAGGCACTACCTCAGTGTTGTAAAATCCCAAAAGGAGGGTGAGGAGCCAGCCTGACGTGGCATTTCTCAATACTTTGAGGGGCAGTGGGTGGCTCTCATTCTCATCACAGGGCAAGGAAGAGCAAATCTCCTGTCTCCGTTTTCACCCAGAACAATGAGCAGGCCTGCATTCCCCTGAGCCACTGTGCAGGCCCAGCCTGGCTCTCCTAGTGCGTGAAACCATGCCACTGTGAGCAGGCACGACTTTGCTCTGTCAAAAAACTAGGCTACTGAGGGTGGTGACTCCCTGGGAACAGACTCCAAAGGTCCTCAGGAGATAAGAGCCAACTTTCAGGGCACGCTAGGCACCTGGGCACAACACCACACAGGGCGACTCCTGCTCAGAGGGGGCACCAGCACGAAGCAAAGCACTCGGGTTCCAAGTGGAATCTTTATTGTGTTCTGTGTCTTTGGAAAGACTATTCCTTGAGTCTTGGATGCTCAGACTTCATGTCCACAATCCAGCGCTCCCCGTGACGTGGCTTACGCCTGGCGCGCAGAGGGAATAACTGGGCTGGAGCAGGTGTGGGTGCACCCTCTTTTTCCATGTGACTTTAAAACTTGACTGGCACTAAATTCCAGTTGTCCCTGCGTTCTTCCTTTCGGCAGCCTCCTGTCTCGAGGCTTTGCCAGCACAGGTCGTGGGAGGCGTCGAGCAGGCCACTCCTTACCAGGGCCCAAGCCCAGGCTCAGCTTCTCACCACCTATTCCGTGGCCTCGCTGTGAGCCATGCCCTCGGGCTCCCATCAGGCAAGGAGGGCACACAGTGCCAGTGCGCAGGTCAGAGGACGTGAGCCTTCGAGGTCAGGGTCACTGCCCGTCCTTCAGTTTGCCCTGACCTTCTTGCTCTGTGGGTTCTGAGGCTCCTCCGCGTGGGCCCGTTTCTGCTGGGGCTCCCTGTCTGCAGGGCCACCCGCCAGCTCTCTGGACAGGAGGGCCGCCCGCACCAGCCGCAGCTCCCGCTTCTCCCTGCGCTCCTCCATCTCCTCGATGTCGCCGGCAAACAGGGCTTTCAGCGGGGCAGTCAGCTTGGGCACTGTTGGGAAGTCTCTGAAGCAGACCTAGAAGGCAAAACGGAGGACAAGGACACACCTCAGAGGGGCTGGGTTGGAGGCGGGAGCTGCAGTGAGGAAATCATGTGCTCACATAGCAGGCACCAGCTCCTCTTTACGAACCCTCATCAACTGACCATGGCTGGGAGAAAACAGAAAAGGAAGAAGACGCCATGGAGAGAGGAGACACTCTCTAAAGAGAGGGGCGTAGATTCCCCACTCCTGGCTAAGGGGCCTCAGGAAAGGCAAGGCAGCCAGACTGAGAATCAAGCTCCTCAAAAACAAACCCTGGGCCCCGCCCCGCCCCTTCATTCTGGAAAGCCAGAGGGGCAAGGTCTGGTTCTACCACTCACGAGAGGAGTGTCTGTCTCCCAGGCCTGGGGGGAGGCTCAAATGACGTGCCCATGAACGAACCAGGCCTCAGAGAGGCTCTCGGTGACGTCCAGAGACCTGACACTGAGGTCTGTCGAGAAGGCCCATGGAAGGTCTGTCTCTCCATCAAAGCCAGTGCTGGTCATGATGGGTGATGGCTAGATACCCTCCCCCCGGGGTGGCCTGAGCCCGACCATCCTGCACATGGATGGAGTGCGTCTCTCTGCCCCGGCCCCACCCTACACAGCCCACGCCCTACACAGACCTTCATGTGGTCAAAGGCAATTCCAACTTTGTCGTTGAAGTCAGGGCTGAAGAGGGGGATCTTGGCATACCGCTGACTGAAGTGGTTCAGCATGATGAACTCTGCGTTCATCCGCATCCCCACGCTGATCGCTTGGGAGGTCGTGCTGCAAATAAAGGAGGGAAATAAGGCTGAAGCCCACCCAAAGTGCAGGCCTCGAAGGAGAGCGCTGGCCCAGACCCCACCCAGTCTGGCCCCCAGTCCCCACCCAGGCACCCAGGGAAGGCAGGAAGGTTGCTCAATCATTGGCTTCTCTTTAGCCAACACACACTCTCTCGAGGCCAGACTCTTCACACATTCCCCTAAATGAAGCCCAGGCTCTGTGCTGGCTGTCAAACCTCCCACCAGTGAGGGCGTCTGAGAAAAAGCAGGGGCTTCTCACCTGGGGCAACACTCTTTCCCCTTAAAGTAGCCCAGGAGCCAGCGCCCCTGCCCCCAGCTTCCCCTGACGTGGCTAGAGTTTATTTCAGTGATTTCCATTTCTTTCAAAACCCCCCCGCAGAGCCTTGCCTAGAGAACTTGCAGAGATAAAGGCAGAGGGCCCAGAAGAGAGCTGGCCCAGGTCAAAGTGCCCACAGGCCTTTGTGGGAAGCAGGCTGCCTGCTGCCACTGGAGGACAATGTGAGCCTGCTCAGAGTGTCACTTCTGGCGGGGTGGGAGTGGGTGACAAGGGCTCAGAGGTCTCTGCTACCTGTGTGTCTTTTCCACGGCTTCCTCTTCCAGACCATCCTCCAGCGTGGCCTCGTGTATCAGGAGGGTGGCGTCCTTCCCTAGAAGGGAAGTACGGGCGCTGAGCAGAGCCTTCCCCCTGGGAAGCTGGCCCTGGGCCCACACAGCTGTCTCCAGGCCCAAACACTTGCTCCCCTGGCCCTGCGGCATGTCCGCATATTAGGAGGACAACCAGAGGTTGTCAGGTGGGCCCCATGCCGGCTGGCTGCCTCTACTCACCCATCTGCACCAGAGCCTCACAGGGCATGGTGTCCCCCGAATAGACCACCTTCCAGCCGGACGTGTGGACCAGTGCACAGCCGAACGCATGCTTGCAGTGCCGGACCAGGCAGGTCTGAAACTGGAGAAGCAGGCGCTCGGAGCCGTGCCCCAACCTTGCCCTCCCACGCCTGGCCCGCCCCCTTACCTCCTCCAAATCACAGGCTCCCAGCAGCGTACTAATCAAGCGTTCAACTTCGGGGCTGCAGACCTCAGCTCCTTTCTGAAGGCATTTGGCAGGAATCATACTGTGAGTAGATAAACATTTAAAAAACAAATGTTAAAAAACAAAAACAAAAACATTTAACTTAAATCAAAGTTCAAGTCTCTGTCTGAGAGCCCCCAAGTCCTTATTATAAAGAAACACAATTTAAATCAGTCACTAAGGCAGGGAAAGAGCAGTCAATTACAAAGAGCCAAACCAAAAGCCATAGGCCACCGCCAGAAACCTAACAGGTGCCCGCTGCCCACGGCTCAGGCATCGAGGGCCCTCCCCGCGCAGGCCCTGCAGGCTCAGGCCCATGGACTCCTTCCCCTGACATCAGGAGGGGCCAGCTCCCGCCATTCGTCCACCCGGTGTGGACGGTCTCTGTGCCAGCCACTATCGGGCCCTGTGTCCTGGAACTGTTTCATGGGGAAGTATTGGCAAAAACCTAGAAACCAACAGAACTGAAAAGAGACCTGAGAAGAAACGTGTCAAAGAGAACAAACGTTTAAGTGGAGACCATCTAAGCATTTCTACCCTTGAGCCAAAGCATCTCTCCCTGCTTCCACCGTCTGGGGCCAAGCTGCCGGGAGGTCTCATTAACTGCCCACAGCAGCCCCGAGCCTGTGACGTAGGCAGCAGATGACGACAGCCCGGGGGTCAGGGCGCCCAGACGCTCACCTGACGTGATGCAGAATCTGCTGGCACTGGTTGTGGTACTTTTGGAGCCAGGCCCTCAGCTGGGTCGGGGCGACCACCAGCAAAGGGTGAAAGGGCTCGCCCAGAGACGCCTGAAACAGGAAATCAGGGTGCCGCGTCAATGCCACAACGTCTCAGTGAAAACGGTCTAGAGGGGCAGGAGGTAAGGCTGTTGATGTGTAATCCAACACTCAGAACAGCAGGAACATCAAGGGTCGCACTCACCAAAGCCCGTTCTCTCTGTAGCAGGATGTTTAACAAGCCCTGCGGAGGAAGAAGGGGGCACGGATCAGCCATGGCCAAACTCGGCTTTGTTCCCCGTGTGTGGGTCTGGAGTCCTCGTCCGGCTAGCTCTCTATCAGCCCCCATCCTCCAACACTGCCCTGAAACGTCACAGGCGATGTGAGCAGAAAAGAGAGGGCAGTGGCCTGGGGACCCAGCAGCCCCAGGAGACCAGGTTTCCCAGCTCTGGCTGAAGTTCCCTCTGAGCAGGCCGTGGAGAAGGCAGGACTCAGGACAAGCTGGGTGAAGGCAAACCCCGATGCTGCATGACCACGAGGCAAAGAGAAAGACGAGACGTTTTAGTGAGCAGAAGGACTGCGCCTGCACCGCGGCAGTCAAGGCCAGGACCCAGCGAGAGAGGAGAAACCACAGCCCCGGGCAAGTGTGGGACGAGGAGGGAGGAAAGCAGCAGGGAAGTGGGGAGCCACTGAGGCAGCGCCTGCTCCAGGACACTCACCGTGTGGTGATCCGCGTGCAGGTGGGACACGAACACGGCGGCGAGGGCGCCCAGGACCCTGTCCACGTCATCGCCGTAGTGACGGCACAGCTGCCCAAACGTGCCTTCGCCACAGTCCAGCAGCAGGGACTTGTCAGAGCTGCAGAGAGGGGCGAGACTCAGCACCAACAGGAAAGGCCTCTGGCGGCTGAGACGGTTTGTCCTTCAGAGAAGAGCAGGTGGCAGTGGCAGCACTTTCTATGTCCTTCCATAGCCTCTCATGCTATCCCCTGAGGAGCTCATGTAAACATGACGGCAATCTTAGACGTCCATCCTCAGAGACAAAAGAATTTTTCTATAAAATGGAACCCAAAACCCTTTAAAATATAAAGAAAGTACACAGGGCTACACAAATGCTGGGCATCCAAAAAAAAGTCTATGTGGAATGGGAGAGAAAAATACTGGCTCCTGACAATGACACCCTGCCGATTTAGGCTGAATTCCGTCACACCCACTGTTGACACGGCCTGAGGCGGGCATGCTGCTGCCGTCTGAGTGGGAGGTCTGGGTGCCGGTGGATGTTTTCCCCCGTTCAGGCAGTTCTGGTTTTCTAGCCCGTGTCCTCAGAGCCGGCCAGTGCAGGACAGGCTGCACCGCTCCCTGGGAGATAGCTGATGTGGACTCCGGCTCCAGTCTGGGCTTCGGATTCAGCCAGCCTCACGCAGGGCTCAGGGAGCTTTGATTCCTCCGCTGGCCCGTTTCAGAACCTCTGCTCCGAGGGGTGAGAATCTTCGCTCCTTAGGCCTTCGAATTCCTTCTCTGGGCGGAGCAGTGAGCCAGGCGGGCTACACTCATTTCCAGAGAGGACCCTCAGAGCACAGAGACTTTACCTTTGGGGGATAAACTGAGCAGGGAAGGCAAGCCAGTGACAGCACCTTCCGATTAGCTGCAGCTGCCTTGAGGGGCCCCCTTAGGGTTCCAGGAGAAGCCCCCTCACGGGGCACCTCCATCCCCAGGGAAAGGCTGGCCCTCGCCGAGCCCCTTTACTGCACTTCCCCGGTCATATGAAAATATGTTCCCGATTCATATATTTTTGATACCAGGGGGCATCTCACAATTGCTGTGTACATTTAATACATTATTTGGTTGTTTATCATCCACCACTAGCATCTAAGATGACGAAGCAAAATTTATAAACAAACCTGGTACTTCATAGTCTCATTTCCTTCATGTAGACACCTGCAGAAGTGCCAGGAACGTCCACAATGCCCTTGAGTAATCTCTCTGCCCACAAATGACACCAGGCAAACCCAAGAGATCATCTAAAACCATTCAGTCAGGGCGCTGAACACCAAACAAATGCACACTCAGAAGCTGGCTCACCGTCAGCAGTAACTCGTTGGTAGCAATGAAGACACCAACTCACATTTTGGACCTGCCACTTACCAGCTGTGGCTACCAGAGCCAAGTAACCTCTCTGAGCATCAGTTTACTGATCAATAAAAGGGGGAGTTAGTCACTACTTCATAGGATTAATGTGAAAATTAAGTCAGATAATTTCTCAGCAAGGTGCACGGCATACAGTAAAATTAGCTATTTTTACCAAAAGACATAATGAGTGACGAAGTTCGGTGATTCCCAGAAGCTTAAGTTAGCTACTGAGGCTATAAAATGCGTTAACACCCACTACTCCTCTTATGGGGCATTCTAGCCAAGATGACAAGCTTGCAGAGCTTTATACAATTGCATTTTCCCATCAGCCCGGTGGGTGGAACAGGACTTGTGTTGAGAAATGAGCATGCTCCTGGATGGAGGGACGTTTCCTGAGAAAGCAGTAATACCTTATGTTGACAAGCGTGGAGCTGACGTTTCGAATCTTCATCGGGATGGCAGACCCTGTTCCAAGGAAGATGATTTCTGGATACTGGCTTCTTGTGTCTAAGGAAAAATACACGTAACAGTCCATTTCCTTGGGTCCAAAGTGAGCCAGCATTCAGCCATCAGATGAGTAAGTCCAGCTTCCCAGGCGGGGCTGGTGGTCTGAGCTGGCACCGTCCTTAAGTAAGGCCCCTCCTCTGAGAGGTGCCCAAGCTATTTGTGGGTAAAGGACTGTTGGGAGGGAGCGCAAATTCTACAGCCTTTCTTCAAGAGAGTTGCTCTAAGTCTTTAAATAGCAAAGGGGACTCCTTTGTGCTATGAACTGTCACTGACCTCAAGGGGTGGGTCAGTGCTCAGGCTCGGGGGTCAGCTCTCCAGAGGGAGGAAGAGGCAGAGCCAGGACTCAAATCCAGGGAGAGCTGATGATTCCGAAGCTGTGCCCCTTCCACAGCCTCACCCAGCCTGGAGGCCCCATGTGCCCGTTTACACCTGACTCAATCCATCTTTCACATACATACCAGAAATCCAATCACAAACCCGAAGGTCACTAAGGCCAGGGAAGTCAGTCTTCCCCCGACACGCACGGCAAGGCAAGTTCAAGAGGAGGTGAGATTCATACTTGCCTGAGGCTAAGCTCCCAACACCACCCTCTATTCCAGCATTCTCTATTTCTCATTAGTTGAAAACAATACTGGAAAAACCAACTACTGGAGGAGAGGTCACAAAGTCCCCCTAACTACTTTTCCTGATGGGGTAATGAAAACCCAACAAGGTGAGGGACAGGCCAAATCTTCTGTGGATCCTTATTAGCAAGGCCAGGACTAGATCCCAAGTTGGCCGAGTTTCCAGAACAGCTGCACTCGGCGTGTGCCATGTAAAGAAGGCCTGGGCGTCATCACTGCACAGCCCCATCGGTCTGGGGGCCGGGCAGGCACTAGTGGTTTTAAATAGAGGATAGAGAAGCACTGATCACAGCAGTCCAGTCAGGCTGTGGCAGGCTGACACTCCACTTAGTGCTATGATCACACGCGCAGGAGGCAGAGGCTGGGAGAGAGGCTGGTCCACGGTCTTCCTCACCTGCCGGGGCTGGGCCCTCCTGCACAGTCTTCCTGTATTCCTGCACGCTCTCCTGGAAATTGGGGAGCTCCAGAGCCTCGGCTATGAATTCATCAGGATTGCAAGTAACAATGGCGTCCCTGTAGGGAGAAAAGCATCTCAGCAACGGAGTGTGCGGCCACAAGAAAACACCAATTTGGAAATCCAGAATCAATTCATGGAGACATTCCGCAGAAAGCTCTTCAAATCGAGACTGAAGACTAATGACTAAGACGTTGGGCAGTTCTGTTCTCCTGCTTTGTGGACCCTTTCTCGGCAACATGGGGTCTCAGAGCGAGTTCTGAATAGCTTTAGCTCCTCAGAACATCTCTCAGCTCAAAGCCTGACAATTCTGGCAAAACTGACATTGGCCGTTGGGCCGTGGGGCGGGGTCCTGTGCACCATCCCTGACCTCTACTCTAGCATCTAGCATCCCCCTGGGGGCCGGGGAGCAAGGGTGGTGAGGAGGGTAAAATCGTCTCAGCTGACAAGCACAGCCCAAGAGCAGTGGCTCTCAAACTAACGTGCACACGACCCATCGCCTGGGAGCCTTGTCGAGATGCAGGGCCTGATTTGGAGGCTCTGGGCTGGAGCTGAGACCGCATTTCCAGCAAGATCCCAGGTGATGCGATGTTGCTGGTCCTGACCTCTGTGAGCAGCAAGCCTTGGATCCGTGGCTCTCCAACTGACTGAGCACTGTAGTCACCTGGGAGCTTAGGAAGTGAGTCCCCGGCCTAACTCTCAAGATTCTAACTCAGCAGGTCTGGGAATTGTATTTTTCACAGGTATAAGGTGAATCTGGAAAGGGCTAGGTTTGTTAATCACGGCTTTGTGAACTGCCTGTGCAGATGCTGACAAAGGGACAACAGGCTCTCCAAGCCCTAGGCATCGTCATGCCCAGTCATGCGACCACGTAGTCTGTGAAAGAGCCTCAACTGCTCAGAACAGCACACAGCATCCAGTGAAACCTGGAACACGGCCGATTCCAGCACAGACACTAAGGAGCAGACAGGAAGCTTCAAACTAGACAAGATCCAGACCTTAACGATTAAAGATGTGGGGCAGTAAGCACGTCTCACATTACTGGTTGGAGTTGCCTTTCTGGATGGCAACTACGTTTATCAAGTCCCTTAAGAAGTGTCACACTGACCTAGTAATCCCACATGTAAGAATTACCCTGGGGAACAGAGTTCCACTCAAAGATCTATGTATCAGACATTTACTGTTTCAGTAGAACAACAAAATTGGAAATGTTTCAAATGAATAAACATCCCTATCTGGAATACCAATAAAAATTTTGCTACTGAAGACTATATAATGATACAGGAAAGGACTGACAACACTTTCAGGCCAGCAACCCACATATACGTTTTTTTGATACATGCCCATATACTTAAAACACACAGAATGTTAACAATCATTATCTCGGGATGACAGAATTATGGGTGATTGATTCTGTTCACCACACACTTCCTATTTTCTATTTTGTAAAACAACAAACACGTATCACTGTTACTATTAGAGAAACAATTTAGAAAAGGACAATCACTGGCTTCAATTTTCCACTCAACCCAGACCAGGGTTGGCTGTTGTAGTAAATGAATTTGCATTGGAACACAGCCACATCCACTCATATTCGTATTTCTATGGCTCTTTCTTGCTACAACAGCAGAGTTGAGTAGTTGTAACAGAGACATGGCCTGCAAGGCCTGAAATATTTACTGCTGGGCCCTTTACCAAAAAGTCTTGCCAACCCCTGACCTCGAGCATTCCATCAGCTCGGAACCCCACAGACCTCTGCCACTCCCTCCGGGGACGGAGCTGGTACTTGAGGAGGCATTCACCCCGGACAGTGGGCACACTGAAGGTGGCGCCTTCTTCCTGAAAGAGACAAAACCCACTCCGTGAAGAGAAAGAAAGGGGTGGGGCCGGGCCCAGGGACCGTTCTGTGACCCTACCTTACAGGGGACACTGGCGAGCGGGGGGAAGATGTCGGGGTGGATGAGGTTGAGCTGCGTCTGAATCTTGTGGCTGCGGAGGTTGTGAACTGACGCACTCTTCTCATTCAGGATCAGGTGCTGGGTGTCAGGCCCAAACCTAGGATGAAACAGACTGGACATTCATGGTGTCCTTTAGGGACATTTCCATCTGAGGGGGAGCTCTGGAGATTTGGAGCCATGATGATGATGGAAATATTCAAGGAGAGTAAGTGACTTGTCCACAAAGATTGCTACTGAATGGCCAAACATAATCACACTCCTTCTGTCTTCAAGTCCCGTGTTCTGTCCAAACTCAACTGCCTTTGGGGTGTGTTGGAAAGAGTACTAAAAGAAATGAGAAAAGTTAAGGTCTTTGGAGCCTACAGCTAGGAACGTGGAGTTCAGGGTGGAAGAAGAAAAGGCAAAATAAGAGGAAAACAGAAAACATATGTCAAAACTCACAAAGCCTAAAAGAACTGAGTAAGACACTGCAGGGACTAATGGGAAAGAGGTGAAGGGAGACCCTGGGAGGAAACAGGAGGGGAGGCCGAAATGCCGCCCAAAATTACATGTGCTTGGGTTCAACTCAAATCATTCCTTCCAGCTGATGCTGCTGCTGGCCAACGAAGCCTAGAGGAAAAAGTAAAGTGACCTCTTCTTCCGGTTACCACATTTTGGTAGAACACCTGCCTCATGTGGTTGTTGGGAAGATTAAAGAACTGAATGAAATGCAGGGTGTTTAACATGCTGCCTGTTGTGTTGTGGGGGCTCAATAAACCGAAGCTCTTAGTGTATACTCACAGGTCTCTTCTGTAGGAGACACGGTGGGATCATCAACAAAAAGGCAGTGTTTGTTCACGCACTGGGTGTGGAGGGTGTAAACTGTGGGACACTGCGCCACCTAGAGGTGGTATTTCTTCACTAGAGCTACACTGGATGCTTCCAGAATTCAGGGACCACAGGAATCCCAGAGAAGGTTTAGGCAAGTGTAGAAGGGTAGGGAACACTTAAAAGAGTGAACGGGAGGATAGAGAGAAATGTGTCACACCTAGCAGAGTGGCCCCCGCATGTCCTGCTGGGCTCCATACCTCTCCATCCACTGCTGGTATCTGCTGTCCATAAGCACACACTCTGGGGCCATGTGAACCACCAGCGCCACAGGGGCGTCGGCCTTTCCTTGGTACCTGGGCAGGAGGAAGAGTGGGGCTTCGCTTTGTTAAGTGACACAAACTCAGAACATGAACAATCAGGAGTGTGCAGCCAGGGAGGGGCACTGCTCGGCTCTCTCTCAGGGGCTGCCGAGAGCCCACAGCCTGCAAAACCAGGCCAAGCTGTCCCCGGCTGCTCGCAGAGGTGCCTGAGCATGGCGCAGCCCCAGCGCTGACCCAGGACAGCAGAGCCCCAGCACTGACCCGGGACTCCTCTATTTGGCAGGCAGTGGGGTTTGCCATTGGCCTGCCTGAGCCTTTGTCAGGGCTGTGCTGCAGAACCAGGCTCTTCCTGTCCCCTCCTTTCTCAGGGGTCGGACCTGCACAGCAGAACAAAAGCTCTCCCTGCCGCCTCCTGCTCCCTCATGCCTTTATCTTTCACAGGCATTTCCTCCATTCAATCTCCTGCACCTCCAATTCCACCCTGGCGCCTGCCTTCTAGAAGACCCGAGTCACAGGGATGGAAAATTAAAATCGTTTGTTATTCCCCCATCTAGAGAAAGAGTCACTAACATGTCAATGTGTTTCCTTCCAGTTCCCTTAAAAAATACATATAGTAGCTTTTTTTACCTACCCTCCCACACACATGCACAAACACACACACACACACACACACACACACAGGAGTCCACAGGCCATGTATTTAAACTGGACAGCAACACATCCATGCGATGGCTCTCAGCTGACAGCTGGTCACAGTGACTTGAAGTAGCTTTGCTGCCCACGACTTAATTACAACACAAAGCCTGTGTCACCAGGGTACCCAAATTCACCCAAAGACAATAAACTGGATCCCAGGAAGAACTTCTAACACTAACTTAACAACAAATATGGATGCCCTAAAAGATCTGTTGTACTAAGTAGAATAAAACAGTTAGTGAAAAAATAAAAATAAAAATTAAGGACAGGAAAAATACAGATAGAATATACCATTAAGAATGGGAGAAAAATTAAAACAGACATGTGGGTCAAAGAGTCTACCCAGGATTAAAGCTGAACTGCAAAACAGGTCAACTTGTTTGGAGGACAGAGAAGAATGGTACTCAGTCCATCAGAACAAAGATGTTCCCAGGCTGAGACTCTGTCCCTTAACACAGACCCTTGACCAAGACTGTCTCAAACACTTCAGACCTAGACCAAGACCTACCGCATTAGATTCAATACAGGTAAGTGAAGAAAATTCATTTAGGTACAAGTAATCCAAATAATGATTTGGGATATTAACTAGAACTCAAGAAAGTTCTAGAATTTGTCCTAGACTTAGAACTCTAAGTGGACTGATTTTCTAGTCCACAGCCATCTCTGGTTTTCAGTCAGTCTTTCCTAATTTCCCTGCAAGGCTGTGTATACCACAAAGCCCACGAACTACCAGTAGCTTTGTATATCCTGCCAGGAGGATCAAGCCCAAGGTAGGAGTCGGGCTTCGGCATTTCAAATGCAGACAGTGGGCTCTCCCAGAGACACAGCTCTAGGCCAGGAGCAACCACGGGTCAAGCCAGACACCCTGTCGACACCAGCCGGGCTCCACGAGCAGAGGGTCGGCTCTCACTTCGCCCACCCTGGAGACCCCTCATTACCTCTTGAAGGTGGCATTCTCACAGATGGGCTGAATGAATCCTTCGTCTGGACATTCTACCACAAAAAAAGCAAGGCCAGGATCTGGAGGAGTACAGATCTCTTCAGGCAGAATCTGCAAAATCATTGGGGTCATGATGCTCTCCCAGAGCAGAGTCACAGCTCAGCAAACATCGAATGGCCTTCCAGTCAACTGCCAACATTACATAATCCCTCCTGAGCAAGCAGAAACCAAGGTAAGGACCACCACCTGTACCTTTCCTACTCTCTGCTTACTCTTAGGCAGCCAGCTTGCAGAGGACATTTACACCTAGAGTGACCAGGAAGCCAGGCACGACGTTCTAGCTTCTCTCAGGTCTGTGACCCATGGTCCTAGCATCCTCAGATGCCAGACAAAACATGTTGGTGAAGAACATGGTGGCATCCTTTGGGCCATGCACCCAAAGTCCATCCTTATGCGAGCTGCTGTTGGACACTGCCTTAAGCTCAAGTACGAGGGAAAGCGCCTATCCCATTAGGAGGAGGACCCCAGATCCAAAACAGATAATCTACGGAAATACCCAAAGGCAGCCAGTGTTGATATGCAGGACGTCTAGATAAGACACCCCATTTTATCGTTTAGCTGAGTGATGGAAATCTAAGCTGTTCCACTTCCCTCAAAAGTGCTATCTGTAGGACCTGAACCAGACAGCAACTCTGCCCAGTGTTCCAGATGTTTCATGAAACATCATGAAAACGGGGCGTCTCACCTCTCTGCCCTCATATGTGACACTTTTCCCGTCCTTGACAGCAGCTATGATGGGAGCAATGGCAGCGGTCCCGCTGAAATGAAGAGGCAAGCCCGCTGTGAGACAGCAGCTTTAGGAACAAAGGCACACCCATGGGGCCCCAGCAGCCGCGTCCCCGACACTCACACGGGGAGGCCCAGCTCCTTTGCTTTGAGCACCAAGAAGTTTCCTTTCTTCAAGTGAAGCTGCAACACAGAGAATGTAAATGTAATTTCAGCGACTAACAAAGAAACTGAGTTTTAATCAATTTTCATAAAAGTGCATCTTTCTGGTTTTACTTTTTAAATTAATTTTACTTTCATACAATTTATACAAATACAGGTTAGGTTAGTGCTTTCAGATAAAGTATACTACATTCTGAAGAAGTCATTTATTTTGAAACGCTTCAGTACTAAAAGCTGAATGATTTAAAACATAGTGCTTCACTTCCCAACATCAACTTGTTATAAATTTAATAAAATGTAACCCATTTCCACATCAAATAAAAAGCATCCTTCAAGGATCCTTGTGGAGAAACACTCTTCTGTTCTATCATCCTGCTCTCACCCGTCAATAGCTAAGGGAACATCACTAGAACCTTGTCCAACAGGAGTGATCATGTAGGTCACCGTATAACACAATATTCCAACGACAGTGATGGGACTAAAAGTACGGATGACTTTTCTCCTCTACTTTTCACATATTTGGCAATATAGTGCTGCCACTTTTATACTGGAGAAAAGTTCTAATAAAAACTTCCCAATATGCTCTTGTTATGTTAGAAGGGCAAACAACAATCCTATCACAAAACCTCATAATCATCATTCTGTACTTAAAAACTTCCAGACAAGCATTTTGGGGATCTACATATTTCATATATAATAACAGAAAAAAGTCAGGAATGGCATGAGATGTTAATAAGTCATTGAGTGTTGAATTATATTTGATTTTCATTTTCTTCCTTAGATCTTTATAAGGAAATTACTCTTAAGGCAAAGTCTCCAACTAAGATCCTAAAGTCTTATTAGGATTCTAGAATTTTCTGTCTGGGGAAAACACTATCCTGGAGGAAGGATCACAGCTCAGGTGTATGCACATAACATAAAGATGACAGAGCTTAGATGACATCTTTAGACAATGACAGTAACAAGCACTGTTGGGACCCAACACTCCCTCCACAGACCCGAATGAATGTGAGGATGGAAACTAAATGCTTCTCATGTTCAACAGGAACTTGCAGACCTAAGGCAAGCAAAACCCATCCCTCCACGACAAGCTGAATTCAACCCATGGGGAAACTTGTTCCCAGCTGGGGAATGCAGAGTATTTGGAAGACAGGTGAGACCAGAGTGCCAGCCTACAAGACCTGGAGCAAGCACGCAGCTGTGGGAAGCCCATGCTCTCCCCTCAGATTAGAGCTGCTCAGGTCCTCACACGCCAGCCTATTTTCTCCCACCTCCCAGAACTTGAACTAACTTGGCTTTACTGCCTTCCAAACCCTTAGCCGAGAAGCGGCAATGAGAAGAGGGAAAAGGGGCTCCAGGCTGACCCAGTGAGAGGCGTTCTCAGAAGCAGCTGCAGACAGCAAAGGAGACAGAAAAGCCAGGCAGCAGCCCCAGCTCCCGGCAACAGTGGCCTAGGAACAGCACAACTGGCGGAGTTTATAAGGGTCGCACCCCTGTCAGGCAGAACACATTTCACCAAGCTCCATGTAATCTACCTAGGAAGGCAGGAAGGATCTAATACAAGTGAAAGATTGATACCATATAAACTACTTTAAGAAATTTTGCCGCCTAAAAACACAGAAATACAGAAGTAATAAGCCTATCGACAATAGTACTTAACTTTTATAAAAATTACTATTATTTAAATAAATTGAGGAAAGTGATACTGACAGTGATCTTACAATTAATAATTAATATTACTACTGTCTTTCATAATTGTTTTCACTCGTTAGCGTTAGAATTTGGATGAAAATTACAAATATATTTTAAAACCAACATTACTTCTTTAAAAAAAATCCAAACCCACAAAAAAAACAATGTACAGCCTTACCAACAATTAGACAAAAGTGTATTGCACGTTATAATAAAATTCTAAAGTCCTATTAAAATTAAGCCATTACTCAGATCTTAAAAATACCTTATTGTAATAAAATTTTCATAAAATCTTACCAACTTCAGATTTGCAGATTTAGGCCTTTGTGAATGCCAACCAATGTTAAAATTAGTCCAATGTTAGCAGTTTAACAACTACAGTGAGATGATATAGACTATGACAGAGCTGAAGGAGTCTGAATAAAGGCTTGATTCATTTGAAGAAAAACAAACAAAGCTGCCTTTATTTCTAAAGTGTCAGAGGACCGATCACAGCCAGATATAAACGAATATACAGGTGGACCAACTCTCGCTGGAAGAGGATTTGGAAGTACGTGAGAGTACAGGGGGTGTACTGAGAAACAGGCTGTCAGTGCTTCTTGGCACAGGTGACCGAGGAGCTGCTACCTTCAAATGACTGGAAAAGTGCAGAGGTCACCAGGCACACGCTCACCTGAAGCCCAAAGAAGGGCACTTACCTTGCAGACGAAAGCCACCACCAAGGAGGGGTCCCTGCCATCCAGCGTCCGGCTGATGCCTGGGGAGAAACGAATCTGATTACAGCAAGGTAAACGTGAAGGCTGACGGGCCTTGCAGATCGAGGATCATCTGCAAGCCACCTAAGGTGACTGCACACAAAGTTAAATGGTCATAACTGTTCCAATAAAAGGTCGAAGAAAACTCTGGTATCCTTTCTCCAGCAGACCTCTGCTTATTCCTACTCCTGTTGAGATTTGAGTAAACGAAAAGTGCAAAACAGCAACCAGAAAAACTTTAGAATGGCAAGTGAAATGTTTAAAAGATGAAAGTTTACCTAGAAGTGGAGAAGAGAGAAAAACTAAGTTGCAGTGTGCTTTATGAACAAGTATAAGAATAGGTGAAATAACACAGAAGCTAAAAGGCCCGCAGAACAAATGTGTCAGCATTCACCCATGCCATCCAAAAAAGGACGGCTTACAGGGTGGGCCTCTTCTCGTCATCAGACAGACACGACCTCGGGGCAGAAAGAGGAACTTCTTGAACCTTGTCCAACACTGGACAACATTCTCCTTACACAGCCCAATTCCTCTGGTACATCTAATCTCAGAATTTTAATTCCGTTTCCCAGTAGGTTGTTGTTATGGAAGAAAAGGTGCAGATCCATCACTGACATGACTGTTTTGTCAGCTTAGCAGTTATAGCTCCTGCATTCATGAAAAATTAACTTGCATTAATGCTGCAGTAACGAAAAACACAAAGTCCTCTGTATGAATCAATTTGCCAGGCCCTGCTCTCCTCTGGGTAAGCTGAACACAAAGTGTGGGGCCGACCCAGGACTGCAGGTTGGCCCCTACGGCTCTGTACTGTCCCATTATGACAACCCTGCTCCCTCTCCCCACAGGCCAAGTCCTAACGTGCCAAGGAAAAAGTATCTGTTTTACACACAACTTTCTTATGATAATGATTCAAATTTACAGCATCAACGGGCAATGGATTACAAAAAAGGAATCCTCTTGACAGTGTACTGTTTTGTTCAAATACCATTGCCATCTGGAAGGGGAGGCTCGTTTTCAGTTGACCTGGAGTCTGAAGACCGCTCTGGACTGAGTCGTCCTGGACTCTGCGATGGCTGCTGCTCTCCACACCTCTGCTCACCTGGTCAGTAGGGGAAACAAGCAAATTACACATCACGCAAGGCGAGCTCACAGCCAGCACCCAGATGTTCACGAGTGGGAATGCCGAATGCCCGCCACATCAACACATCTTCTACTACAGGATAAATGAGCCCTCCCCAGCTGGTCCCCGGGCTGCATTTAGGGCTCACTCATCTTTACATGTCTGCTCAGCTCACAGCTCTGACTACAGTCGAAGCTCAACAGTGTTTGTTGACTAGATAGCATGCAGGGAGTAGGTGGGTTTATTCATTATCATCAGTCTCAGTAAAGAGATTTTGGCCCGAAGGTTACCCATTTCCATGGAAGGAGCATAATTTTGTAGTCAGTTAAGTTTCAAGGTCAAGAAAAAAAAAAATCACTGCTCTAAGACGCTGACGCACAGCTGCAGGTCTCCTGTAAGGCTGGCTGCTCCTCGTGTGAGCCTGTTCCTCCAGTGCTGACCGGACACCGGGAACACACAGCCAGCACACTGTGCAGGTTCAGCACTCATCACACAACACATACACAAGTAAACTGCCATGTGCTGGGGAGGGAGGAACACAAACCAGGCTGGTGCTGGCGGTGGGGGTCAGAGAAGCCATCTGACCAGGAGGGAGCCAGGCAAGGAGTGTTCTAACCAGACCAGCCTTCTCCCTGGCCTCTGGCATTGTGCCTCTGCTCGAGCCACAGCGCTTGCCTCCCTCCCTTCTTCCACCCACGGGTCAGGTCCTGGACTTCTCTGGCCTTGGCTGGGGGCTCTCATCTCTACCCTTTCAGCACTCAGCAAGTGTCAGGCTAGTTAGCACTGCCAAGCAAATGTCCTAACGGCTCCACAATCTTCTCACAGGAGGTCAAACCTGACACAGAGTGTGCTGAGCCAGACTCGAGGACAACACTGACACGGCAGGACTGATGTGCAGACAGTCCGTCTCTAAGTCAAAACCACATCATCTGGCCCTAGGACCTGACGACACTTCTATGAGCCTGCTGTATTAAAGGAATGTCTATCTGTGCACATCTCTCCAAAATCCTCTCATCAAAGGAGGGTCCTCACATCTGTGCCAAATAAACCCCAAGCAATGAGCGCAGAAATCTGAGAGCAGTGCTTGATGACGCAGTATTCCAAAGCACAGTCCTGGGCATTATCTGAGTTAAACGTGTCTGTCCATGAAGGGCTGGGTCCAGCTCTTATTCCCACAGCTAAATTTCCAAATCGTGCTCAGAACACAAATCTGGGTACCCGGAGCCCATATTCAAGCGGTGTCTGTCTTCACCCACGCCTTCCTCACCTAGGACCTACATCTTCCTCTTCCTCCTGGGAAACGTGGCTTCCATACTCACTGTATATGGGGACCTGGAAAACCGTCATGGTCTCATCCTTGTATTCTGGGGCAGAGTGGGGCCGCACAGCTACATGAAAAGATGACAGGAAAGTGGCTGCGTTAGCAAACATGCGTGAAAATTAACCTCCCAGATCACCAACCACAAGCAACTAAACTGCTTTGGAATTTTGGTAGGAATCTGCACTAAAACCCGAATTTCTGAGTAAATTAAAGTTTTTAGGAAAGAAGCAAAAATATACTTTCATCAGTCATTAATATTTACTACAGCTGAATGAGAAGACATATTATGATCAATGTGACTACTCATTAAAAAAAAAGAAACCAACACTCAAATTTAAAAGACACAAGTTAACACACAGCATTGTGAGGCCAGAGAATCTATCACCTCAACTCTAAGAGCCAGTATACATTTTAAAATAAAATATTAGTGTTTCTGTGAAAGAGGAGCTTTAACAAGTCAGAGATGCACGCCGCCTTCAGGTCAAGCACTGCCACCATCCTCTGTTAGGCCTTTTTCCCTCAAGAGGCCATCATGTGTCTCCCAGCCCAGCCTGAGCTGCTCACACCCTCTTCCTACTACAAGGAATTCAGGGCAATTCAACCATGAGAACCACCTCGAGGCCCAGGGGAGGAGACTCAGTGCCCAGATGGAGACCACTTCCTGCATACAGGCAGGCACATTGCAGTTTTAAATCACTCCTGCCTGTTGGGTCTATATTTGGGGCCATGAAGTGGGGGCATAGAAAACGCAACAGGCAATATTTAAAAAATTCACCTCATGCTGATGAAGCACTTGATTTTAAGGTTTAATTTAGGTCAGTTTTCATGGATTCTAATTTGAGAGTCTGGGGCCTATGGGAAAGAAATGGCAGATAGTGAGTCATAATCAAGGCCATACCCAGGTCTATTCCTTTCAAGGGACCAGAAAATATTTTGATAGCTTCTAGGTATTGTTCCTAAAAAAGAAAAATAAAGAAGTAAGCAGTTATGGTTGCACACATGCGGAACACAGCAATGTATTCAAGTACACAAGAGGTATCAATAGGTATCAACATACAACTAAGTTCAGAAAGTATTCTGAACTTCCCTTATACAAATATTTACTGAGTGTCCACTCTATGTTAGATGCCAAGGATGTGGCAGTGAGAAGGAGATGGGGTCCCTGCCCTCCTGAAACTGAGAATGAAGTGGAGGAGACAAAAATGCAACAAATGGTAACACGAAGGACAGCTTAGCGGTAGTGGTGCTAAGCGCTCTGTGAGGAAAACGAAAAATGCAGGGAGCTGGGATACGGCTTGTCTGGAGAGTCGGGACACTGCTGAGTAAATGACCCTTTAGCTGAGCCCCGATGGGTCAGAAGGATCTAGGCAGGGATGAGAGGAGGTGGAGGGGACCAGTGTATGGACGAAGCACTGAGACGAGAAGGGGCTTCAGTGAAGAGCTGAGAGTGGACCCGCGTAGCTCCGGCTTGGTGACTGGGATCCAGGTGCAAGCGTGGACAAGGGCCACGGCCCACAGGACCTGGAGGCCAGATTAAGCGTCTGGACTGAACTGCAACGGAGAACCCCCTTGAAGGGTTTTAGGATGGAAGTGACGCGCCTGCAGCTATGCCTTAAAGAGGCCCTTCTTGCTGCTGCGTGTGGACTGCTTACAGGGAAGCAAGGACAGATACGGGAAACTATCACCGTAGACAGGTGTAGGGGACAGAGATGAAGGCCTTAATGAGATGGAGACAAACGGACGGAGCCATGGCATTATCCTGGAGACAGAATTAACAGGACTTGACGTTGGGCTGCCTTGCATCTTAAGAGCTGGGAAATGAAGTGTTACATTCAATAGTTTTGACAATGTGCACACAACCTCTCACCAGTGTAATAAGCTGGTTTGGAAGGTATGAAGAGGTCTGAAATTTAGTAAATAAATAAGAATAAAAGCTAACATTTATTGTGTGCCCACTTGGTACGAAACATCTCATACAGCGATTTAGGGTTTTATATGTATTACTTCATTTAATCCTTAATAGTTGTGGCTATGAAACATTATAGCCATTTTACAGAAGAAGAAACTGAGGCTCCAGGAGATAAAGTAACTTTTTCAAGGTGTCACGGTTAATACGGTTTTAGACTCAGTTCTCTTTAACTTGAAAGGTGAAGTGTGATCTCTGGAGGGCAGAAGACTGATTTGTAAAAATGGGAATTCTTGTTACTAACCTTAAAAAAGGAGGGGTTAGCGTGGAAAGCCGAGGCAGGAGAGACTCACCAGTTGTGGAGGTCCAGAAAGTACACACTTTGGAAGCCCGGTTTCCTTTAAAGTAAGAATCATTCCTAAAAAGGGTGAATAAAATCAGATCTCTTGTCACCTTGACCTGCAGCGGCAGCCAGGAGGAGCGCTCCTAACTTAACTAGCTCTCAAGCTACTTGTCCTCATTCCAGCCTTTAAGCAGTTATCCGGGAACACATACAGGGCAGAAGTGTTGCTAGCGAGAAGTACAGGGGGCACCAAATATCCCTTAAACGCCTCTAGAAGGGCAGGGCTGATACCAGGCTGAGGCAGTGGGGCAGCTAGTATGCAAGTACAGAGATGGCCTTAAATTCTGCACTCTAGGCGCTCCACGTGCCTCACCCTAGTCTCAGCTCTGAGAAGGGGCCGGTTCGCCACCCTACTCCCACCTAGCCACATCACAAAGCTTACAGAATTTGGCAGCAACACAATCCTGACCTTCCTATTGGTGGCCGTGAATAATGGGGTAATCTGCATAGTAGGGATCTGTGTGTAGCTGCAAACGGTCTTGATGGTAAATATATTTACTATCATCACCACCACTGCACTCTCCAGGTTACTGTCACATATCCCCAGTTCAGTGACTCAATTGGAGCGGATGGTAAACACTTGGAGGCAGTATCCGTGTTAAAATCTGCTCTTCTGAGTCACAGCTTTTCATGCTCTGTGCTGCAGCTGACTGGGCTGGCATAAAAAGATTTCCAGCTTCCCCGGACTCGGAAGATGGGCAAAAAAAGGCAATGCAGGTTAAAATTCCAGAGACTTCCTTCCAGCCTCTGACCGCAGAAAGAATATACTTACCACACAACCCCCCCACATTACACCAGTGCATCCGAGTGAGGAATATGTTGTCCAAACGAGCCACCTTCAGCCTAAGAAAGAGAAACATTTAAGCAGGACAAAATGGATGCACCAGGAGCCCTCTCTTCTGCTATAAAAAACACTCCTCCCTCTCATCTCAGCTTTCAAGCTCCTTAATCATCTCCGCCCCACAAGAAAATGGTTGACTCACTTGTGCTCCTGCATGAGTCGCTGGACGCCTTCTCCACAGTTGAAGAGATACCTACGGGATAAACATTACACAAGCTAGACAGAAGACTCTCATCTGTGAAATCTTTCACACTGTTTAGATGCTTGACTGTACACTTTGGGGGGAAAACCTAACGACCCATGTTGGACTACAGGGCCACATTTCTGCGATCGGGATGCTGGGTTGGGGACTGGGGCCTGTGTAGGTTGGTCTGGGGTGAGACGGATTCTTTCCTCATCACATCCTCACCAGACCTGTCTACCCCACACACCAACTGTGAGGCCCGGCCTTCGGGCGCACGGGAGCGGGTGCGGCTCAGTGCCAAGAGCCAACTCGGGGGCGAAGGGCCGGGAAGAGGACACTTATACCCCGGGAGGTGCTTCAGGGACTCCCGGAAACTATACGGACATAGGACGTAAGGAATCTAGGATCTCCCTCCCACCAAAAGACTAAGATGGGCTGCAGGAGTGAACTCCCACATGTGTGAAGAAAGGGTAAGGGAAGCCCAAGGAGGTGCTGGGATGCTCCCGGGGGCGCAGCACGAGGACGGGGAGGGAGGAGGCTCGGTAAGGGGACTGGGCGCGGCGCACTGACCGGTTGTACTCAGAGAAGACATAGAGCGCGGCGCCCGCATCCCGGCCCCCGGCCGCCACCACCTGCAGGTACACGGTGTTCGGGCCCCCCGGTTCCCACGACGGGCCGCGCTTCTCCCGCGTGCGCAGGTGCCGCAGCGGGTCCTTGGGCGGCCGCTGGCAGCGGGCGGGTCCCTGCGACATGGCGCGCCCAGCCGCGGCCCGCAGCAGCAGCGAGCGAAGAGCCCACATGCGCCAGCCTCCACCAGACTGGGAAAGCAGCCGGTCACCCGCGTCCGCATGCCCCACGCACCGCCCCTTCGCCCCGCATGGCAAGCCCAGCCAATCAGCGAGCCGCAAGCCGAGCTGCCCGCCTACGCGAAGCTGCGCGTCCAATAGAGAGGAGCCTCGCCGCTCCGGACTTGTCAATTGGCGGAAGCCATAGAGTGGAGGAATGCTAGAGCGCCCGGAACGGCCCGGTCCCATGACTCTTTCCGGTTTCCCTTGCAGGCAATTCTATCCGGAAACCGTCTTTCTCCTGGGGCGGGACTTCCGGGATCGAGGGCTATAAAAGGCGCTGCTGCCGGAAGAGCGAGGCTTTGGAGTTTTCAGTGCGGCTGAGGGTGAGGTTTCGATTTCCGCCAGTACTGCCCTGTCCCTTCAGATGTGTCAACCCCGTGGGGCTTTGATTTGCTCCTGCCTGTAGCGGTTGTTAGGATTAAATGTGAGCAGATAAATTAAATAGAGCTTTAGTGTGGCGGCTTTCACTAATTTTATTTCCAATCGTACATGTTTCAAATGATTGTTTTTACTGGCTTTTGGAAAGAAGAGAATAATGACGGGTTAAGAGAACACGCTCTGGGGCAGGAGAGTCTTGGGTCGTTGATTAGCTGAGTGCTCTTGACCTCTCTGAGCCTCAGCTTTCTTATCTGTAAAGTGGGGATGGTAACAGTATCTACTTCATAAGGTTTCTAGAATTAAATCGCCTAGTCATATGTTGACAGTGCTTTGAGTGGGGCTGGCACAGAAGAGGCACTCAGTAAATGGTAGCACAGTTAAAAAGGAAATAAAATGTTTCCACCCACATAAAAATAGATTTAAACAAACTACGATGGCTGGAGAAATGCTGACCGGGGACATCACAGCGGTAGATGTCACCATACAAGCCCTTTGAAAAGCAAAAATAGGCCTACTGTCCCCTTACATAGCTAATGAGGATTTCCCACTGAGCCAGATCTCAGTTAAAGCCAGGAGAAATACAACAAGCTTTCTTAAATGGGGAAGATTATTTACCTGGAATCTCCACTCACTTATAGCCTAGTTCTATGTGTCGATGAAAATAACCAATCTATAAATGAAAATTTGGGTGAGTTTATTCTGAGCTGAAATCTGAGGACCATGGCCCGGGAGAGTCTTTCCACAAAGGAACAGAGCACTCCAAAGAAGTGGGGGTACACAAGCTGGTTATATACCCTCAAAGAGGGTGTTTCACATATGATTGAAATGTCCCTCCCACAATAGTCACAAGATTGCCCTTGATGGACACAGCAGGTAGTGGTCTGCTATCTCAGAGGGTGTAGCAGGAGGCAAGTCTATTGTCTTGAGCTAGGTGGTTACAGGCGGTGGGCGTAGCAGGGAGCAAGTCTATTGTCTCAAGCTGGGCGGTCACAGGCAGCCTCCACAAGCAATCAGTTCCTAGCCTAAGGAAAGATGCTTAATCCTTAAAGAAATGCCAACGTTGGGAGGGGGAGAGAATTTGCGCCTTTATCTCAAGGGCCTTTGTTCTTGCCATAGGGGATGTCTAAAGCAGATATACAATGTGTGCTCAACGGCCACAGTCAGGCCCTTTTGGAAAGACAAGGTCAGGCCCTTTTGGAAAGACAAGGTCAGGCCGCATTAGGTTTACACAAAATGGCTTCCTCATATACTCCAATATATCCTATTTCTTGCCATTTTTATTTGTCATATGGAAGATGACCACCAACTGCGAGGAAACCTATCTGGAACTTGAGGTGACCTTCCCGGTGAGGGTCAGGAAAACTGCTGATCTGCCACTCTACACCTTTAGAGGGCTTAAGCACTGGAAAGATTATGACACTAACATCCTGACAGGTATTCAAAATAAGAACAATCTCAATCAAAAGGAAAAGGCAACCTAAGGAATGGGAAAAAATATTCACAAGTCATATATGTGATAAGGGGTTACTATCCAAAATTTATAAAGAACTTAGACAACTCAATCACAAAAAAACAGATAATATCAATCTAAAAATGCCCAGAGGACCTGAATAGACATTTTTCCAAAGAAGTTATACAAATGGCCAACAAGTACATGAAAAGATCCTCAATATCACTCAGCATCACTTTGAAATGCAATTCAAAACCTCAAAGAGATGTCACCTCACACCTGTTAGAATGGCTTTATCAGAAAGACAAGAGATAACAAGTGATGGCAAGGATGTGGAGAAAAGGGAACCCTTGTGCACTGTTGGTAGAAATGTAAATTGGTATTTGTCGTTAGTGCCATCGAGTAGATTCAGACGCCTAGCAATCCTGTGTGCAGCACAGTGGAACCCTGCCCCGTCTTCTGCGCCATCCTCTCATCTTCCCTCACTATATCACACAATGCTCCCTTGTTATTCACAGGGTTTTCATGCCCAATTTTTTCGGAAGTGGGTGGCCAGGTCCTTCTTCCTAGTCTGTCTTGGTCGGGAACCTCCGCTGAAACCTATCCACCATGGTGACGCTGCTGGTGTTTGTAATACCCATAGCACAGCTTTTAGCAACACACAGCCACCACACTATGACAACCAACAGACAGATGGGTGGCATGGTTCCCTGACTGGGCAATGAACCCAGGCTGCAGCAGCGAGAGCGCTGAATCTTAACTGCTAGACCACGAGGGCTGGCTGTTTGGTATAGCCACCGGGGAAGCAGTATGCAGGTTCCTCAAAAAAAATTAAAAATAGAACTACTGATGATGCAGCAATCTCCTTTCTGGGTATACATCTGAAGGAAATGAAATCACTATCTTGAAGAGATATCTGCATCCCCATATTAATCGCAGCGTTATTGACAATAGGCAAGACATCCAAACAACCTAAGTGTCTGTCACTGGATGAATGGATAAAGAAAATGTGCTGAAGATCATGCAGTATTGCTCAGTCATAACGAATAAGGATTTGCCATATCATGAATGAACCTTGAGGGTATTATGCTAAATGAAATAAGTCAGAGAAAGACAAATAATGCTCAATCTCACTCATATATGGAATCTAAAGAAAACTAAATTCATAGAAACAGAGTAAATTGATGGTTACCAGGGGCTGGAGGGGGGCAGGAAACAAGTGAAGCTGGTCAAAGGGTAAAAACTCCCAGTTATGAGATGAACAAGTTCTGGGATCTGACGTACAGCAGGGTGACTAGAGTTAACAATACTCTATTGTATACTTGAAAGTTACTAAGGTTCTGCCCACAAAAAAAAAAGGCAAGTGTGTGGTGATGGATGTATTAACTAACCATATGGTGGTAAACATTTCACAATATATACTTAGATCAAATCATTAAATTATACACCTTAAACTTAACACAATGTTATATGTCAATTATATCAATAAAGCTGGGGGAGAATAAAAACAATAATAAACTTAAAAAATGTTAGGAAGTGCAATAAAATACTGATTTTTCCCTTGATGACTGCTTTGATCTTTTTTAATATTAAATTCCACACTAAAAAATTAATTTTGGTTCCTCTATTTGACTGGTTCCCTAGGCTTATCTCTGTCAGGTCCCCCCAAACTCCTTATAGCTTTAAAATAGAGGAAGCATGCCTTTTGTCTTTTGGTCGTCTGCTTATATAAGGTTCTGAAAGCTGGGTGAAGAGGTTAGGGAAGGCTGGGGAGGTCATCAGGTTGTCTTCAGCATGCAGCATGGCAAACCACACTGATGCTCTGGGTCATAGTTTCATGCCTGGTATGTGAAGACGAAAGCTAGGACGTCCCTGATCTGAGGTTATACTGGAATGTAAATTCCATGAGAACAGGGCTTTGTCCGTCTGGCTTTCTGCTGTATCATTAGCTCCTAGGACAGGGCCTGGCTTATGACAGGCAATTAATATTAGCAAATTAGGAGAACCCACTAGCTTAATTGAGGTTGTGCCCTTGCAATTGAACAGGGCCCAAAATTCAATCAAGACAATAACAAATGTGTATCAGAAGAGAGGATGGTCTGATGGGTAGGATACTCCAGAAGCGTAGGTCAGAGAGTCAGAGATGTTCAAGTATCCCCAGACTTCTTGGGGTACAGGGAGCCTGACGTCAGGAAAGTGGAGGTGGAGGCAGGAGGCTTTCAGAACTCAGTGATACCAGCCACTAACAGAATCCAAACCCTTCCTCTCGCTTTGAGTCTCTTTTATAGTTGTCCATTGCTGTGTACAAACTACCCCAAACCCAGGGGCTTGAAGACCACTTTCAATCATTTTATTGCTCCTGGTTTTGCTGAGTGGGGCTGGCTTATCTCTGTTTCTTACAGCGGCTTCTAGGATGGCTCACGGGTGGGTGGAGTACCCAGCATGGCCTCACTCACAGGTCTGGGGCCTTGGTGCTGGCTGTAGCCTGGGGTGCCTTGTTCACCTCCACATAGCCTCTCCCTCCCTGGAGACTGTTCTCATTCAGTAGTCAGGCTGAGCTTCTGTACGTGGCCAGCTTCCAAGAAATGAAGTGAAACCTCAGTGCTTCTGCAGGATTAGGCTCAGAAGTCAAAGCGAGAAGTCGCAGTCAACACCCACCTGGATTCAAGGGGAGGGGAAATAGATTCTGTCTCTTGAGGGGAGAAGTATCAAAGTCACACTGCAAAAGGACCCTTGGAATGGGAGCATCCATGCTTTCCCAGAGCCTGCTGATTACCCCACGAGCGCCTGTGAAGATGTGGCTATCAGGCAGAAGCAGCTGGCTAATGAACACGGGTGCAGGCATATTTCCATAAGTGGACAATTATAAATATATAATTTATACCTCGGCCTTCTGGTATGAACACTTGTAAGTATGGTTGCCATGAGTTGGTCCCCCACCCCGGCCACCTCTTGCTGTACTCTCAAATCATATTTCTGCATCCACAAAGCTGAGGGAGACCCTGGGCTCCTCAGGTTCTTGTGATCTGACCAAGAGAAACCTAGTCAGGGGCCCTAGTCTGGGACACCCGCTGGCCTTCCCCACACAGGTATTCATTCAAGTATTCATTCAGTCAACACACACATATGGAGCTCATATTAGGTTCTAGATACTGTGCTAAGACATTGGTGTACGGATATGAACGAGACTGACATCGTCTTGCCATCCAAAAGCT